ACTTGCGTGCACTTTGAGGGCCTCAACAGATCGAACGAAAAAAGCAGATCGGTGTGGCTGGAGACTTGAACTCAACCCATTACAAAACTCGCGAATTGGTTATTTTCCAAGGTCGCTGTTTTGTAGGTGCTTAATGGGCTTTAAGCGCCGCAGTCTCTTCCTCTACTTACCAAATTCAAACAGGTTCAATTAGATTACTACCATCAGTAATCTGCGATCTGAGGAAACAAACAAACCAGTCAAAATGCCTTCTTGGACTAGTTTTTCAGGCTCGGGGCGATGTGCGAGGGCTGCATTAAGCTTATCTTCCAATTGATTCTTGGATAATTCTGCTTGTTTGGCCTAAGATTTCTCGAATAATTGAAATCATGAGCTTTGGAAGGGCAAAAAAACAAAGAGAGAACAAGTTGATCGAAAGAGATGTTTTTTTTTTCACTCACCTGTTGAGAAGGATCTAAATTTCTGACAAGTTCAATGTAAATGCCAAAGATAGTGTTATGGTCAATTGATAGATCAAACTTGTGGAAAATTCGAATGAGGTCTTTACAAGAAGAGTTTCAGAATCGGACATACCCTGGTTTGAGGACGTTTTTCTCGATCAGTTCAGTTTTATCCGGTCGCTCGGCCAAGAGTTTCTCCAATTTACGAGTTTTCTGCAATCCATGCAAAGAATCCATGTGTAGAGGCAAACACAGTAGGAGATATCAATAGAAGCCGGGTGGATAGGTTGAGGAAGGGTTATCGTTTCATCGCCTACTTCAGTTTCACTGAGGCCTATATCTGAGGTGTCTATAGGAGCCCCTTGTTCGACTGCTGTTGGTGGTGGCGTGGTAGTAATTTCAGGGCCTTTGGCCGGGTCAATTTCCAAAACTTAGGGAGTAACTGAAGCTAATTTGCGAGTCATAAATGGAAACCAAGGTCAGGTTTTTGTGAAGTAAACGACTGATTTGAAGGACCCGAAAATGTTCCATCCGAGGATGGCGAGCAACGATCGTTCCTTGTTCATGAACCCGCTCATCTTGGGGACCCGTCAGAGGAGATTGAGTCTCGGTCACTTGGATGAGTTACCCTCCTGTTCTTGTCAGGTTTGAGTTTGGGTAGACCTGAATAAGCCGTACAGAATCGGGAGGACCACGTTCCTTTGACTGAATGAGGTTATCTTGATTCCGTACCTCATCCAAGATGTCTGGACTGGGCAACGCCACTGGAAGTGGATCGAGACGAATCCCTAGTGACACACTGCCCAGTCCGGGTCTTGGGGCGCGCTAGGGTCAGCTGCTTGTGGAAAAAAATGTAA